TGTATATGCCTGCACCGATGCTGAAGATGCCGCCGCCGATGCCAAGGAGCGATGCGAGGAATCGTTTGGTTTTGGTGTCAGGTTGGGTCATAGTGCGGTGGACGTTGAGGAATTGGTCTCGGGTATGTGTAAGCTTTGCGGTGAGGATGGTTGGCTGCTTGGAGAAGAACGGGAGGTTGATGTTTTCGATCATTTGGAGGAGCTGGTTGGTTTGGGTAAGTTGTTGTGAAAAGTTGAAATGGAACACAAGGTGGCCGGAGTCGATTTGGAAGAAAAAGCGGTCTTGTTTAATGAGGAGGAGGTGGCCCGTCGTCGTCTTCAGGATAGGTGGAGAGATCGTCTCCGGTGACGTAGTGTTCCGTGCTGTCGTGAGAGGAGGAAGAAGGAGAAGGAGGAATGAGATGAGAAGGCGAAGAAAGTTGACGTGCAGCATGTCGGCCGGCGATGATGTTTCTGAGCCTTGGACTGTTGGTGGGAGAGAAAGGGCTGGTTGGTTGTGGACGTGGAGGTGGTGAAAGGTTGGTGAAAGGTCGTGGCGGTCTGTGGACGTGATCCGGTGATGTGAACGGTCGGATTGGCCGGTGGCTTCGATATTCTTTGGGCCGTGATGGTAGCGATTCTTCTTTGACGGAGATGCCGAGCCGTTTCGCCAGTGATCGTGTCACTTGTTGGAGTTGACCTGTAAATGGTTTTTTAGAAGATGAGGACGTGGATGGTTGCGGCGTGGAATGGCTGTCTGGTTGGAACGTGGATGTTGGCGTGGTTGTGGTTGCGTGTGTACTTGTCGTGGTTGGCGGTGATTGGGGGGGAGATGGTTGTGGTAGTGGTGTGGATGTTGGTGGTTGGAGTCTGGACTGAGGTGGTGGTGGTAGAAGAGAAAGGTTGTCCGGGGAAAAATGGTATTCTTGATCATTGGTGATTGGTGGGGAATCGGGAGTGGTGCGCGGATCGGAAAATTGGCTTACCTCGGAGTCCTGTTTTTTGGAGTGAAATGGTTTAACTCTATCGAAATGGACACGGAAAGTCTGCTTTTTATTGGCGTCGTTAACGATTGCCAAATTATGATTATCAAACACCCTGGTGATGGAAAATGGTCCGACCCAAGGATTGGCTAGCTTGAGGTTCCTTGCGCGAGTGACCAGATTTGGGGCGTGTAGCAGAACTTTTTGGCCTATCGAAAAGTTGGGGGTGGGGCGGTTTTGATTGAAGAAATGGGTATAAGCGTCGCGGAAACTCATATTTTCTTCTTGGGCAATTTCGCGCGCACGTTGAATTTGCAGTAATTGTTCTTGTGCGTGGGTGTTGGGCAGGAAAATTGTTTTGGGGGCGTCGGCGTCGAAGAACGGTAGACGTGGGGCGCAGTTGTACAGTAACCGGAAGGGTGAAGTTTTGATAGCCTTATGTATTGCCGTGTTATATGAAAACATAAGTGCGGATAAATAGTTTGGCCAGTCAAGAGTGTTGTCATCGGTGAACGCGCGCAGATACCGGGTCATCGTCCTATTAAATTGTTCCACCTGAGCATTGCACTGCGGGTGGCGGGGGGTGGTGGTGAGGTGGGTGGTTCCTAGTTTAGTGAGTAATTCTGAGAATATATTGTTACAGAATTCACGTCCGCCGTCGGAAAGAATTGTTATTGGGACTGAGTGGCGGCAGATCCACTTATCAAAGATGGCTGTTGCGACCGTCTTTGCTTCCTTGTTAGGAATGGCAGCGAGTTCCACGTACTTGGAGAAAGCATCGGTCATGACTAGAACGTACTTGGCGTCTGAGTCACTCTTGAGTGGACCGTATAGATCCACGTGTACTCGCTGGTTAGGGCCGTTTTCTTGGGGGAGGGGGATGATGGGTGCTGTTGGATTTTTGCCGAAATTTCTGCCCTTTTGGCATGAGATGCATGCTTTGATGTGTTTTTCAACTGCTGCTTGTAGGCCGGAAAAATAGTAATTTTGATTTACGCAGTTGACAGTTTTAAAAATACCATTGTGACCTGCAAGTTGGCTGTTATGAGCCATTTTGATCACGTCGTCTTGCAGGGCTGTGGGGAGGAAAAGGAGGAACCTGGTTTCTCCTCTAACCTTTTGTGTGGTGAAAAGTAAGTCATCGTGCAGGAGAGTGTTAATTGCGTGGTGCCGGACAAAGTTGCGGAAGGGTGGGGGTGGTGCTTCTCTATTGTTGACATAGGCAAAGAGGGCATTGAGCTCGGGGTCCGCCATTTGTAGGATGTGCATGTCTTTTGGGTCCATGTCGAAAAAGTTTGTTGCGTCTTGGGTGGTTTGGTGAGAAATTGCGGCGACATTGCGGGAACAGTAGTCGCTGACTACGTTTAAAGAGCCTTGCTTGTAATTGATGTTGAAGTCATAAGTCAACATCATTTCTTGTAACCTGTTAAGAGTTTTTGTGTGTTGGGTGGACAACTTTTGGAGCGGTTTGTGGTCGGTGTGCAGTTCAAAATGGCGGTTTGTGAGGTATACGTAGAAATGGTCGATTCCGTATACCGCGGCTTGCATTTCGAGGAGGAAGGGGGGGTAATTTTTTTCGTGTTGCTTTAGGCCTCGGGATGCGTAAGCGATGACTTTTTCAACACCGTTGTGAAACTGTGAAAGGTAGGCGCCCAAACCACCTGGCTTTTGCTGGTCACCTGTCGCCGCGTCGACCGTGAGGTGAAAGGTTAAATTGGGGTCTGGGTATGCCATTACCGGGGCTGCTGAAAGCGCTTGTTTGAGTTTGTTAAAAGCCTGTAGCGCGTTTTCGGGGAGGGGGCCGCCTTTCCACTCGGAATCTTTTTTGGTAAGGTTTGAGAGGTGTTGGGAAATAACACCGAAGTTCTCGACGTGTCGTCGGAAGTAATTTGCTAGACCCAAGAATTCTAGTATCTTTTTCTTGGAGTCGGGTGGGCTGGCGTTTGCAATGGTTTTAGCTTTTTCATACCCCGGGGTGATTCCGAGCTTGGAAAGGTTGAACCCGAGGTAGTTAAGTTCCTGTTGAGCAAAGGAACATTTTGCCATGTTTAATTTTAGGTTATGAAGTCGTAACCTGTCAAAGGTTTGTTGAAGATGGAGCAAGTGTCCGGGCCAAGTGTTGCTGTGAATGAGTGTATCGTCAAGATAGCAGAGGGTGTGTGGGAGGCCGGACATTACCTTGTCCATTAGGCGGCTGAAACTAGCCGGACAACCAAAGAGGCCAAAGGGGGACGTTGTCCATTGGAAACTGCCCATTTCTGGTACGCTGAAGGCTGTGTATTCTTGGGCATGTTGTGTGAGGGGCATTTGGTGGAATCCCGATGTGAGGTCGAGTGAAGAAAATATCGTGCTTTTGTTTTTGCCTATTATGTCGATGCAGTCATCGATTGTCTTGGTGACATAGTAGTCTGGCTGCGAAATTCTGTTGAGGTCGCGATAGTCGATGACTATTCTGAGCGAACCATCTTTCTTGGGTACACAGAAAACCGGGGAATTGAACTTTGAGTTGCTGTGTTTAATTACGCCAAGGGCGAGCAGCTTTTCGGTGTGCTCTTGAAGTACCGGGATGTGTTCCTGTGGAATGCGGAATTGTTTGCGGAAAATTATTTTTTGTTCTTTTAGGGCTATGTCGTGCTGGTGAGTTTGTGTTCTGCCCAAGTCGTATTTATCGGAACTGAAAACGTCAGCGTTGGCTATGATGACGCTCATTAATTCTTGTTGTTGTTGTTGAGAAAGGTGGGGGGCGCGGAATTGTTGTTTGAGTTTGTTGATGAACTCTGGTGTGACGCGTTTTTGTTTGATGTTGACTGCGCATAATGATTTGGCAGTGTCGGGTGTGAGGGGAACAAGTTTTTGATTTTGATCGAGTAGCGTCACTGCCGCGATTGTTGAGTTTGGGGGAAAGTGAAATGGCAGTGGCGTGGTGTTCGCGAGTATGACTGGCAGGCTGCATTTGTGGTCGTTTATGGTGTATAGAGCAGCTGTAACGTGGTATTTAGCGTCTGGGAGCTGGTCAATGACCACTGTTTTGGGGAGTGTTACTGAGGTGTCAAGTGACACCTGGACGATGACCCGCTTCTGTTCGTTCGCGTCTAGTGTGAAGCTGTCGGAATTTTTTGCAATTATGCCGATGTGGTCCGTTTTGGGTTTAGGATTATATGCGATATTAAAATACTTAATAAAGTTGTCTCCAATTATCAATTTGCTGGACAACTCTTTCGCGACGTACGTTGGGAAAAGGCATTTTTTGCTGTTGTACTCAAAGGGGAGCATAAAAATTTTTGCGGAGAAGTGCGAACTGTCTGCGGCTTTCAGTGCAACCGGAGTGGTTGCTGCGGGGATGGGCGAGAAATTCGAGTTGGCAACTAGATTGTCGAACTCAGACTCGCGGAGTGCCGTGATTTGGCTGCCGGGATCGTACAACGCCTCGATGTTTTTATCTAATAGTCTAACTGATACGCGGGGCCTCGTGTCGGCAGAGGCGGTAGCCCAAGAATTGTTCCATTTTATCATCGCCACCGTTAAAGCGTCAATCGCATTACTCGTCGGTTCCGGAATAAATTGGTTGGGGAAATTTGCGGAAAATACGGTTTGCTCAGCGGGATCGGAAGAATTGGGCTTACCGTACAAATCGTAGTGTTGAATAGTATTTATTTCCATGGCGAATGAGTAAAAGTAGGCTCCAGCGCCTCAATAATGCTGGGACCCCCCGTAGGCTGGGTTTCAATGGCGTTTGTAGATGTGGCTTGATGTTGTTGCTGCTGGTACTGCATTTGACCCTGGAAGCCGTACCCTTGCTGGAACATTTGCTGTCCTCCGCGGTAACCTTGGTAGCCGCGGCGTTGTCCTCGTCCTCCACGTTGTTGGGCCCGGGTCGCGGCTTCTCGCATCATACTCTGCTTGGTACGACACTCATGCTCTTGGTGGCCTTTACGAGTGCAGAACGAGCACGTGTAGGCGGGAAAGGAGGAGGAGGAGGAGAAGGAGGAGGAGTTGGGTTGTGGTGGAGGAGCAGAGTTGTTGCCGCCGCGCGACCCAAAACCCGAGCGCCCTCCTCTGAAGTTGCGCTGGTTGCGGCCTCCTCTCTGGCCGCGTCCGCGGAACTGGACACTGTTGACGTTGATGTCGTCGTCTTGTCCAGTGTCGTCGATCTGGATGGCGGCGACACCTGCCGTCGCGACTTCCAGTTTCTTGGACTTTTGTTTGGTGATCCATGCGTGGTTGGCCGCTTCCAGAAGCTCGTCCGGAGTGGTGGCGCCAGCGTGGATGACCACATCGCAGATCTCTTTTTGTAGCCCGATGACGAAAAAGAGCGTTCTGAGGTACTCCCTGCAGTCCTGATACTGAATTCGTCCCTGGGAGTCCTGCAGGTCGATCAAGGTGTCGCACGTTTGATTAAAAATCGTGCCAGTCCTGTCCCAGAAGTCGTTGGGGGACATGTCGCCTTGATCGATACTTCTCAGCGCCTCTGCTTTCGCAGAGTAGGTCGGTCCTGGCCGGAAGCGTTTGTTAAATTTTTGGCGCAGCAGCGGCCAGTTGTGCAGTGCGGGGCTGCCATCGTGCGCGAGGTTGGTCGTCCATTCGCCGGCGACGCCTTTTTGAAGGCGGCACAGCGCCATCCTCGCGGCTTGCGTGTCGGAGAGCTTGCGCATCGTCTGGTGCATGTTGACGGCTCTCACGAATGTCTCAGGCGTGACCTTGTCCTTGTCGCCGCCTTGGAAGTCGGGGATGGTGTCCACCCCGATGGCTTTGGTATCCAGGATGACGGAATCTTCTGGTTCCCATTGCCACAGCTGGTTTATC